CCCACGCAACTGATGAGAGGACGAATCTTATTCGTATCCGGTGACATCGACAGCATATCATGAGAACAAACTTGTGGGTCTTCAAGAGGCTGTAGAAAACCGGACAACTTGGATTGTCCAGTTTGAGACCAGTGATGAACTTTTCGTCAAGGCCTGCTGACTTTGCCGTGCACAACCATACATGATTGAGTCGCTTGCACTGTGACAAAAAGTCCCTTTCACTCACAAGTCGATAGACGGAGGAATCCCGCAAATGCGTTTCAGTTATGGCACGGTCAAGTGATTGTGGCATAACTACGAATTCGCCACCTTTATCACTAACAGATATGCGTATGGAACCGTTAGATCTTAGCTCGCGCAACTCTCTCAAACCCTGCCATTGTTCGTATGTCAAGTTTCTGTTTCGTTGCCGTTTATAGTGATTCAAAACGGCAAGAACGTTAGCTGACAAATTTCTGAACTTAACATCCGCTAGAACCGCTAGAGGAGATCAGGCGCTTGGTGGATTAGATCGTGAATTTCAACCTTGAACCGCGTTTAGGCCTCAGAAGACGACGATTTTGTCGAAACGTTAGGCCGATTGAATAAATGTTCCACCTATCAACCTCGAACGGCAGAAGAAACAAATACAAATAGAAGATTAGAGATTTCAAACGTGTACCTCACTTTTTTCCAACGATCCCTCTCTCAAAGAATAGTCCCGTTATTGTGTAGGCCTGCTGGCGGGTGGGGGAGATGTGACCCAGGGAGCCCGTACGATGTGGTAAATTGATGCCTAATAAGTAAAATAATTAGTATGTATGATCATTTTGTACTTTGTTGTGTTTCTATTTACATGTGGTTTTACCCTAGTCATTATCTGGCTTGTAGTTGTTATATCAGGTCCAATGACGGTGTACAACCAAGCTAACCAGCCGGTCCCTACTGGGTAGTTTGGGTTACCAGCTGCACCCCCGGTCCACTCCTTCTACATCCGTTCCACAGGAGTTATGTGATGGCGGGCGGTAGTAGCGACTCTGTTACTGACTGAGGCGTCGCGTACGGCTCCACCGTTTGCGACAACTGCCACCAAGAGCACTCATAGCTAGCATTTCATTTCATTTATTACATGCAAGACGCACGTACAATAGATTAGGACAAAACTCAAAAACAAAACAAGGCAAGGCAAAACAAAGCAAAGTAAAGCAGGACATAACGAACTGTAGAAACAGAACAATGCATCATTTATTAGGACGGTGGAGATAATGGAAGACCGCCTTTCTGAAACTAGAGAATAAGGGCGTTATTTGCACAACCTTGCTCATTTTTAAGAATTCCATGCCTGCACGAATCCGTGAAGAACCTGCGCCTAACTATTAAAGGAATCTTGCGCGGAAAATTCTTGCACTCTTTCCTAACATGAATATGTCAGTTGTGATCACTGGAAATAGCACAC